CTCCCGGGCACGACGTAAACCGAGAAGCTGCCTCGTCGGAGCGCGATAAGCTCGATCGACGTATGTGGGATTTTCTCCGAAGCGTTATCGAGCGTCGTTAAGTTCGTTTACACGGGGCTCGACCGACCGGCCACTCGTTTCGTCCCGGCCAGGCGATCCGGACCCGAGAGGCGGCATTCGTTCCGTCGACTCGCCCCAAGGTGCCCGGTCGATCCTGGAACGCGATGGCTCGGTCGGCTTCGCATGAAATCGTTGCCGAAATGTTTCTCCGGGAAATGCGCGCCCTCGAGTCTCGACTCGGTCCCACGTGGCACCTCGAGGTCCTCCTCGAGGAGAGCACCTTGGCCGAGCGCTCGCCTTATAGCGAGACCGCGAAAATTAATGAACATGAGAATAAAAAAACGTGTAACGTCCGTTCGTTTAGTCTCGAAGGTGGGGGAACTCCTCGAGCGCGCTGCGGTGCCGCCAAAGCCGCGCGATATCGACGCGGGGACACCGGTGGCGCAATATCGGAAATAGGTTTGTTAAAATAAGCGTTTCGCGCCACCCGGGACGCTTCTCCCTGGTTTCGGCACGCACCTCGCCCCGGCTCGTCGAAAGGAACGTCCGAGCGTCTGCTCGATCGAGAGAACGGGACCGATTGGGAAATCGGATCGGCGCTTTCTTCTTCGACTCGGGACGGCAACGTCGCGGGTCAACGGCGACCTTGTCCGATCGTTCCGTGGAAAAGAGGGACGGTTCCCGAGGTGTCTCCCCTCTCCTGGCGGACGCGAGTTCGCGAAGACGTAAGCGGGCCGATCGCCCTCCTCCTCCGCGCGCCTCCACGCGGCGCGGACGAAACGCGAACCCGGAAGCTCGCGGTATCGCGAGCAAACATGTTATTCCTCGGGAAAAAATCCAATTATTCCTTCACGATGAATGATTTCTTCGACGTCTTCGTCCTCTCGCCCGATTCGGAAGAAAGACATCCTCGCCTTTCCCGTGGGGCGCGAAAGGGGGGCAGAGGGCCCCCTCCTCGAGCGCGGCAAAGCGAATTTACAAGTCGCTACCTCCGCGCTGACATAATTCCTGTCCGCTCCGAAGCGTCTACCGAGCGTCCTTGACGAATTCTCCCCTCCCCTCCCCGCGGTCCCGGGGAGGGGCGCCGAGCTCGAAGGATACGCTCGGCGGAGACCGTCCTCTCGGCGCGGCGAAACGAGTTCATCGATTGGGTCGCGTCCAGTCCGCGCCGGTAACGAGGGCCATCCTCGTTACCGACGCGTCGCCGTTGGCGCGCGCCGGCCGGTTTCTCTCGCGCGCCGCGACCCGCGACGAGGAGCCGAAGTCCGAGGAGAAACCTCGGAGGTTTCCGGACCGACGATCGTTCCGCGCGACCTCGTCGTCCGCGTCGGTCTCGAAATTCCGCGCGCCGCGGAATTCGCCCCGCAGCCGCCGCGCGGAGCGATCTCTCCTCGGGCCGGCGATTTCTCTCCCGATCGAGCGAGATCGACGGGGCGGGGGAGAGAGGGGGCGGCACGTGTCGCCGCCCGGAGAGGGGGGAGGGACGCGAGCGATTTTTCCCCGGCGGGGGGCGAGCGACGCGGTTGCGTAAACTCGGATGCACGCGACGAATTACGTTTGGAGCGTTACGAAACCGAGGTTTCTGCCGCGAGAGGGAGACGTCGGCGCGGAGTAAACGCTGACAATGGAGAACCTTCGTGCATTATTCTCCCGCGGTGTCGCGGCCCAAGGTGAGGCGTAATTAAATTTTCATAATCGGCCGCGTTGCGTAACCTTCGGCGCGCACCAAAGAGACGACGCGCGCGGGGGCGGGATCTCGTCGCGAGAGGGCCCGACCGGACGGCCCCCGGAGGGCCCCGGAGGTCCGAGGTTTACGTAACGGCCGACGGGGTTGCGAGGTCCCGGGAAAGTTCCCGGAGCGGCTTCCGCGATCTCGCCGACCGAGCGGCACCGACATCCCCCCGACGACGACTTTCTCCGAGTCCTGACGGAGCGCGTCGTCGTACGTCGAGGGGAGAGACGTTCCGTTCCGCCGTCTCCGTCTTCCTCCCGCGGAGGCGCCGCTCCGCTTCTCCCGCTCCGACCGCGACGCTCGGCCGCTCTCTCCTTTCCCGTGCCTCCCCCTCCAATCGTTTCGCCGCCCGACGACCATCGACGAGTTTTCCCGGCCCCGCTCGACGTGGATCTCGTCGAGGACCTAAAAGGTCGGAGGCGGCGTTCGGTGCGTTTCCGGTAGCGACGCGGTCCGAGACCCCTTCGCCGCGACTGTCAACGACCTCGCGTGCCGCCCGCAAAATCCTCGCGGTCATGACCGGGTATTAGGGCGGAAAATAGCCCCGTTTCTAAAATTAACCACGGCCTGCCCCGTCGCCTCCTCCTCGTCGCTTCGATGAGCCCCTGCTCGAGGCGCGAGATCGTCGAGGGAAAAACTCGCTCCGGAATTGAAATCGGTCCGAATTGATAAAGAAAGAAGGAAAAAAAATATGATAAAGGGAAAATTCGAGTCGATCGAAATGACGGGAATTTCGTTGCCCGTCGACTGCCTGGAGGAGGAGCGCGAGGAGGGCGTCAATCTCCGAGGAGACGATCTCTCGTCCCCGTCCGGGTATCGAATCGAGCCGCGCTCGCTTTTCCGAGGAGACGGTCACCGCCACCCGTGGGAACCCTCTCCCCTCCCCTTTCCTCGTCCCGCGTCGCTCCGGAGGACTCGGTCCGATCCGAACCGCCGCGGAAATCCAAGACGGGCGCGCCCCCGAAAGGAGGCACCCTCGGTCGGAAGACGCCGAGTTTTTTTTCTGAATCGCGCCGGCCCGGCAGATGTCGCTTCCGTTCGGGGCGTCGAGCGGCGCACGTGTGCGTCGGGACGGGCCGCTTTTCACTCCTCCCCGATCCCTCGGCCCTTCGGGGTATTCCCGGAAAACCTCGGCACGTGACGGAAAGGAGCCGCTCGTTCTAGGTGCCGCCGCATCCTTGCCCCGGAACCGTGGGAGAGAACGTCGAGAGCGGTCGGCGAAACGCAAGGTCTCCTCCTGGTTTAATCGAAAACGGCCGAAATTCCAGCCGACCCGGGACTCTGGACAACGATCGTCGAGTTTTCGAGGGCGAGTTTCCTCTCGGGGGTCTCTCCGGAATCGGAAAGAGGCCTCGAGCGATCGACCCTCGACTCGGGATCGAGGCACCGATCTCGCGGTCTATCCATCGCGAACGGAGCCACCGTTGCGCCCGGCGAGCTATCTTTATCCGCGACCTTCCTAAGAACTCCGGGGAAAATGGCCGAATCGCTCGAGCGAGCGGGAGAGAGAGAGAGAGAGAGAGAGACGGGCGAGCGGGAGAGAATTCGAGCGTTATCGGCGCGTTAACCAGGGCCGGGTCTTTGTCACTCGGCCGGCGATCGATTCTCTCCTCCCGGCGTCGACTTCCCTCTCTCGCGGTAAATGCAAGCTGCATGCTCTTTGTCGCACGCCGAGTGGGCTCTAGTTGACGAAATATTGACATCCAAGAATAGACACCCGTAGCGGCCGGGCGGCGGGGCGAGGGGGGGCGGCCGACGGCGGGGCGCGAACGAGGGAGAGAAAGCGAGGTTAGGTTGGCGCGGTGCATTCGGCACGAATTTAAAGGAGGGCGGCTCCGGGGATGACGTCAACGCCGGAGCGCTCCCCGAGCGGACGTCCTATCGCGATACAGGCTCCGAATCCTGCCGGCCCAGAGAAAGGGACGGAGGGAGAGAGAGGGTGCGTCGCTCGAGGTTCGTTTTCGTCCCTCGCGCGCCGCGATCGAGGAGAGAGACCGGAGGGAGGAAATTCCCGCCCTCGTGGCGAGACCTCCCTCGTGGGATTTTTTCGCGAACGGACTGAAACGCGAAAAACGATGCCTTCCCGTCCGCGTTGGCCACCCCTGCGTCCCGACGACCCTACGACGCGGTCGCCTTTTTCCAGCGACCCCGCACCCCTGGAAGGGGGGTTACCGGTGGACGCGCCTCTCGTCTCCGCGACCCCGAAACGGTCTTCCCACTCGACGGACGCGCCACGTGGCGCGTGACGTCATCCCTGGGGGAGAAATTTGGGGGACGCCTCGACGCTGAGTCTCGTGGCTCTGCCGAGTATTTTTCGGGAACAAAGCTCGAATCGTTCCGCGGGGGAGTCGATCCGCAAAGATTTCTGGGAAGCGACACACGGCGGGAGGGTCGACCACCTCCCGGGGGAGATGCGCGAGGCGCCTCCCGTTCGGAGGCTCGAAACGTCGGGCAGCCCTTAACCGAGGCTCGCCATGGCCTCGAGACGCGTATTCGACGCGGAGACGGAGGTTGGCCACCCTCCGTCGATGTATAGAGACCGGTAGGTCCGTAGGCTCGTATTATGTAGGAGCGGTGTGTGAATAGCGAGCACGTGCATTTCCCACAGAAAAGCAACGGGAGCCGAGCCGAGCCGAGCGGGCAGCGCCGAGCGCGGCCAGCTGGGAACGAACGGTAGGTCGGGCGACGCCGGCGACGGTGGCGCCGCCGGTCCCGGCCTACGACGGGAACGGGAACTAAACGCGGCGGGCACCTACCGCGATCGGCCCACTCGCTCGCGCGTTAGCCTTCGTAAACTCGTTTGGGGGAGACGTCGCGCTTCCGATAAAAAAGAACTCGAAGCTGGGACTTATCGCGACGCTTTTCGTTAAATTCGAAGCGAACCCCGGGGGGTAGCTCTCGAACGTTGGTGGACCCCGTATCGCGCGCCGGTGGGAATCGAATCGGAGGGGGGGACGATTCCGGCCGGCCGTAGAAGAATCCGTGAGATTCGAAGGGCGGAATAAAGGAGGGCACGGGGAGCACACCTCCGAATGGGACGGTTCCTTTCCGGGGAGCCAGGTTTCCGATCTTCCGCCTCGACGAGCCGAAGGAAAGGGGCCGTTTGGCAGAAATTTTGGGACGGATCGGAGAGCGACTCGATCTCCTCCGAGAGTATTCGAATCCGCGTGGAGAGATGGACGACTAACGAGGAAACGACGCTTTTCAGGAGGCCGCAAAGGAGCAACGGCGCTCGGTCCTCGGTCCGGCCCTAAGGACGGCGGCCATCGGCGCGGGAGTGCAGCCCCCGCTGCCGTCCGGCTACCGCGACGCCGTGCCGCCCCGAAGCGGGGACGGTGATTCGACATTTGGCGCCGCGGCGATGGTGGCAGCCGCCACCGCTACGGCCACCGCCACAGCCAGCGTGGTGGCCATGCAGGACCGCCAGGACATACCCACGCAGTTCAATCAGGTTGGTCGCCCGGGTTCGGAAGCGCCCGCCCGCTTCTCCACCTCGACTCTCGGGAAGGCGAGAAATGCTGACGCCTGGTTCCTTTCGCAGATGCAAAGCCAACATGGGATACCCCACCAGGCGTACAACACGGGGTATGCCCAACGAGGACCAATGGCTGGGATGGGGCCAGTCGGGATAAACAATTTTAACGGCATGGGCTCGATGGGTCCCATGCACTCCATGAATTCCATGAATTCGATGAACGGGATGAGCGGGATGAACTCGATGAATCCGATGACCATGGGAGGGATGAACGGGATGAACGGGATGACCGGGATGACCGGGATGAGCGCCATGGGTACCATGAGCAACATAGGCGCCATGGGGATGAGCACCATGATGGGACCCAACAACGTGCAGATGAACAAGATGAGCATGCAGGTGAGGACTTTGGGCCACCCTCGCGCTCGAGGACCGCGAGCGACCGGAGAACTAACCGATTCCTTTCTTGCAGACTCAGCCCCAACAAGGTTACCCGAGGAGACTGGCTCCGTATCCCAACCCGGCCATGCACATGGCGCAGAAGAGGCAGCAAGGTTCCTACGCCGCCCCGAATCCCGCGGGCATGCAGCCCGGTTTCAGTGGGCCGGGCATGCCCACGGCCCAGTACCCGACCGGCGGCTATCCGGCCACCAGGCCGAACTTCCAGCCCCAGTACCAGCCTATGCAGAGCATGAGCCCCGCCGGGGCTGCCGGGTTCGCCCCCGGTGCCATGATCCGCGGGGCCAGCATGAGGCAGGCCACTCCGTCCTACAACGGCCCCACGCAAGCCGGTCAGTATTATGGCGCCAACGGGGTGCCGGTTAGCATGGGGCCGACCAACGTCGGCAACCAATTCGTCGGGCATCAGCAGCCCACCCCGAGCTACGGGACCGCTACCTACGCCGCGACCAGCCAGTACCAGCAGGACGTCTCCACGATGAGGACGCCGGGCGCAGGGAACATGACCTACCAGCACAGCCCCATTCCCGGTAACCCGACGCCGCCGTTGACGCCAGCCAACAGTATGCCTCCTTACATCAGCCCCAACCCGGACATCAAACCTAATTTCAACGAGATCAAGTCTCCGGTCAATATTCAGAGTAAGCCCGAGCGCGTTAACCCGAGCCCGCCGGCTTTGATTTGCCTTTCCATTCCGGGTACGACTCCATCCGCGGACTCTTTCATATCTTTGGTATCGCTGCTTTCGATTGGAATTCTTCCTTTATTCTATCTGCTTTTTACGGTTCGAACCGAAACCCAAACAGCCGAACTTTTACCGATCTCGAGCTAGCGCGAGCACGTGATTTGCGATGGACGTCAGAGCCGAACGGGTTAATCTTAACGATGTGTCCTTGCTGAGGAGGGCGAGTCGACTGGGGAACGCGAGGTTCACGCGTGGTCTCTTCGATTTCAGAGGACGACGAGCTGAGACTAACATTCCCCGTGCGGGACGGCATAATCCTCCCACCTTTTCGCCTGGAGCACAATCTGGCAGTAAGCAACCACGTGTTCCAGCTAAAGTCTACGGTCCATCAAACGCTGATGTGGCGGTCGGACTTGGAACTCCAACTCAAGTGTTTCCATCACGAGGACCGGCAGATGAACACCAACTGGCCAGCCTCGGTTCAGGTGTCGGTCAACGCGACTCCTCTCGTCATCGACAGAGGCGAGAACAAAACCTCTCACAAGCCTCTATACCTGAAGGATGTATGCCAACCGGGTCGTAACACTATCCAGATTACGGTATCGGCGTGTTGCTGCGTAAGTACCGACATTTCGCGAACCGTAGATATTCGGGTCCTTATGGCGGTCGAGTGGTTCCCACGTTTCAGTTCGCCCTTTTCGTTTGCAGTCCCACCTGTTCGTTCTTCAATTGGTCCATCGCCCGAGCGTACGAAGCGTCTTGCAAGGACTGTTACGAAAAAGGCTGCTCACCGCGGAGCACTGCATCACGAAGATTAAGAGGAACTTTAACAATACCATGTCGAGCAATGGTATGCAGCCCGAGAAAGACGTCGTCGAACAAACAGCACTAAAGGTAGGCACCGTGGTCCTCCGAGCCGCGCAAGATATTTTCCGCACCGAGTCAAAATCCGAGGTCGTCCTCAATCGAGCCGATTTCTTTACAGGTATCGTTAAAATGTCCTATCACCTTCAAACGTATAACACTGCCAGCGAGAGGGCACGATTGCAAGCACATACAGTGCTTCGACCTGGAATCGTACCTGCAATTGAACTGCGAAAGGGGGTCCTGGAGATGTCCTGTTTGCACGTGAGTATAATTCCTTGTTTATTTTTCTCTTCTGCTAAGGGTCTTCGAAGATATCACGCTACGGTTATCTTAATATTTCGCTCGCGAAAAACTTTGTATGTACACGTTTAAATATCATCTTTCAGTAAGCCCGCGCAATTGGAAGGCCTGGAAGTCGACCAGTACATGTGGGGTATTCTGAACACGACGCTGAACACGGTGGAAGTCGAAGAGGTAACGATAGACTCGGCGGCCAACTGGAAACCGGCGAAAAGCTTGACTGGAATCAAATCCGAAGAAGAGAACGACTGCAAAAGATTGACGAAAGCGATGTCGCCGGGTAGTATGAACATGCCGACGATGAACAACTGGGACATGAACCAGGCGATGAGCCCTTACATACCACCGGACATGAACAGTATCGTTAGCGGTTCCATGATGAACAACACGCCACCCAATTACGGAACCAACGGCATAAATCATCGGAATTCCTCCGGAGGGTCGTACGATATCAACTCCGGATCGAACACATCCGGGAGCAACGATTATTCCAACGGGGCAGGACCCCTCTCGCACTTAAACGATTCCGTGAATTCCCTGGACCCTCTCAACGCGATGGAGAAGTCACTTAACGACCAGGTTCGGCCGAGATCTCGTCTCCTTTGCTTTGAGATAAATTATAAAAACCACTCGTGTTTGCTTTAACCGGGATCTTCTTTCCAGATGCCCCATACGCCGCACACGCCGCACACCCCTCACACGCCGCACACACCTGGCGGAGGTAACAGCGGACCACCCAGCGTTCCCCCGGCTTCGCAGGAATCCACCGGGAATCACAACTCGTCCGGCGGTACGAATACGAACCTCGGTAACGACACCACGGACATACCTTCGGACTTGAATTTTGACCCCGCCGCGGTCATCGACGGCGAAGGCACGGGTCAAGAAGCTCTGAACGTAAGTCCGATTGAAAAGTATCCCCCAACGTCTTAACGACGGGACGCGGTTTTTCCTTAAAATACTGACCTTTCTATCGGTACGTCACAGCTGTTGCCGGACAACGTGGTCGATCCCATGGAATTGCTGTCTTATCTGGATCCACCGGATCTGAACACACCACCCAGTAGCGGAGCCAGCAGCGGTAATCCGTCATCGAGCGACGACATTCTAGCGCTCTTCGAATAAGAACGGACAAGGTTTAACGACCCTGTAAAAGGAATAATCAAATTACTGCCTCGAAACTGGGGAAAGTGACCACCGGAGTCGGCGCGTCACTGCAAACCGCTCCCAAGCCCGACTTGGGCATTTGCAGGGAGTGCGAAGAGAAGACGGGAGGGGGTGGTCACTGTGGGTGCTCTCACCTAAACAATGGTACAAACGATCTTAGCTCTAATTGTAATATTCCTATTGACGAAGTTAGGGCATATATTATAGGTATAGAACGATGACCTCTATCGGCGAGACGACGGACGTCCCGTCGACGCTCGCTCGTAAAGACCATATTGCACGGACTGGGCTTCGCAGCCGGATAGATTTCGTTCTCGACGCGAAACCGTGTAAACGATGCGCGTCGCGTTGTACGCTCGGCCGTATCAAACGTCTCGTGCACTCGGTGAAATGCTCCTTGCAGTATTGCCTTTACCTGGAAATACGGTCTACTCGCATTGAAGGCTATGACGGACCTACATCACGAGAAACTACTGCTGTACAGTATCTTTTTGTAAATAACTTTAATTCTAATTAAATACGGTAAAAGATATTCATCCGTTGTAAACCAACATGCTTATTGATGGATATAGCGCATATAGTGTTCCTTTCGTTTAGAACTTTAGTGACGGCTTGTGGGGGCGAGTTGAGCCTAGGGGCCACCGGGCTTCACCCTGGATACGATCAAACGAGCACGATGTATCTCCGCTGATACTGTGACGCGACTTCGTGGTACCGATTCATTTGTGACGATCGACCAACCGGAGATATATATTCCTACGAGGTAAGCCGTGGAAGTAAGACGTTACGGGCATCCCGTAGTAACGATGTGCTATATTCTATCAATTTACGGTATTAATCTACGTTAATTTAACGGAACAGTAGCGGTTAAATAGTAGTCTCCTAAACGTGGCTGTTTATTTGAATCATACATCGGACGACGGTTTTGTTTTCACGTTATCAAGTGAATTCTGAAGGACTGAGGCCAATCGCGAAGTTATTTCTTCTTCTTTTTTTTTTTTTCCTTTCTCTCGGTTTAACGTGCACGCAACTCTCCTCTTTGATTACGAGCGCAACTAACAGGGGGGGAAGAGAATTTCTGCTGAAAACTTGAAACACCAATTTCATCAGTATTATGTCCGCGCGATTTCGCGACACCCGGAGAAGATAAACGTCTTTCGGTCGGAGCACAATTTAGCCCGTTATCGTGCATCGCTCACGTGAATTAACGTTGCATAGGAAAGCTCGTTTTTCTTTTTTTTTTTTCTCGCACTCGAGAACGGTTCGAGCAATTTTCGCAAATTGTATTATCGGTATCGGAGTGAAATCGGACAAAGGGATTTTATCGGCACCCTCGAGGAACCGCGCCGAGTGAGCGGTCGAAAATTCTAAGCTATCGAGGGAAACTCGGCAAACCGATTCGACGCGGATCCGTACCAGATCGGACGTGCCTACGTAATGCGAGAAATACTGCCAGAGTGGCACCGCCCATAACTCCCCTGCTTGCGTAGTGGTTACTACATTTATATCCTTTGTGATTAAAAGAGGAGATATACTTAAAGTGATTCATGTAGATTATACAAATTTTATATAAAAATGTATTTATATTCTGATACGCCCATAAACCGGCGTACAATGATGAATTAGATGCGGTCAAGTTTCTATTCACATAATTACAGTATAACATCACTGAAGTTAGATTTTAATATTACTTATATTAAGTGCGACTATTGTATATTATTTGTATATATGACAAATAGATTAATAATATAAGAAAAGTGGCAGATACTTATTGGCCGGCTATAACAGTGAAACGATTATCTTAATTATTTCTCAGAACCAATACATATGGGAGTTCTACGAAGATACCATGTCCTAGAAATCGAAACCTGTACGTGACTGTAGAATTGTAACGGATGCAGTGCAACGCGAACGTTGTACTTTTATTTCTACTAGTACTACCACCTACCTATTAAAATCCTAATTACCTAAAAAAGTTTATTCGAACTGTAAGCATTACTTAGGATTGCCGAGTAGTATGCGCAACTTTTGTTGCGGGTGTACATACGTAGGCAATAACTACCTATACCTAAATAATACTATTCTAAAGTACACGTTACGAGGTCCTGATTTATACGAGATACCGTGCTTTATAGTCATCTGGAGGGAACGGTGTACCATTGAATCATCCAACGGTCATGATTTATTGGAACGCCATACAATTGCGCCCGGTTGTACCTTAATTGTAGACACATTTCTTTTTTTTTTCCATTGAATTGATTTTTTTAAGCCTGTAAAACGTTCGAGTTGATATGTATCAAATCGATTTGATTTCAATTTGTATTGACTATATGACGTTTATTTGAAGTTACTTAAAATAACTTCGAGTCGATACTTGATAGATGGTTCCTTTTTGTTTACATATTTATGAATACTTTCTTTTGGCTAGTAAATGTTAAGGCTCGGGTTTTATGTTCTGAACAGGGAGAGAAATCACGTAGAAGGATCAATTAAGCGCAATTAATTAAAGCCACTCCAGATTTCTATAGACCTCGACGATGCTAGACTTACTTACTTACCTACCTGTCTATCGTTAAGTGGCCTATCATTTGAATTGATTGTGCACCAATGAAAGTTTGACGATTCAAAATGATAGAAACGATAATGTGTAAGGCCAGTAAGTCTATATTAATATGTCGACGATAATTCATCCAACTATATCGGAATCGTTATAGTTCCTCTACCGAGGTAATATGCATAATGCAACAATAATGTTATTGGTTACGATCACGTGAAAAATTTTAATACACAAAGACCAGTTTATAATATTTATGGCAGACACAACGTTCTCCGATAATTAGAAATATTCAATAAAAAAATATATTAAAATTACAAGTTATTAGTTTTTACTTTTGTGTCCTGGTAAACGAATAGCGTATTAAACACGACCGTTTAATTTACATGAATGACGAAGGTGAATGATACATTGACATAGATAATTATTACTAAGTATTCCCAATTCTCGTTTTCCGATGACACGGCAGGCACGACATGATACGTTACGATACAGTACGGCACGGTACGGCACGGTACGGTACGGCACGGTACGGCACGATACGTTACGTCACGTTACGCAACTAAGGAGCGTGTCCGTGCTAAGTGTGGAAGAGTTTCGATGAAGAGCCACTAGGCAAGCGTGGTTCTCCGACACTTCCGAAACATGGCGCATGGCCACTCTGCTTCTCTCTGATGGCAGCGACTTCGAATATGGACTGCAGTGATTTTTTAGAGTTCCAGGTATTTCTCATGTTAAGTTAAGATAACATTGAATAAACTGACTCAAGAGTACAAAATAAATATATTTCATATTGATACGCATCGACGACGATCAATTTATAATTACGGAAAATATGTTCATTGAAAAGATTCATCCGCCGGTAAGGTTATGGATGACCTGTTCTTTAAATCTAAATGAAAAAGTAGTTATATGCCACGTAATTCATAATAGTTGTGAACGATGGTAATTTCATCTCAGAGTTTAATCGATCGTCTGTAATAATGATCTTCAGAGTTAAATAAATATACTTTCATTCTATAACCGACTCGTAACACCCGTTTGTGATCTTTAGACATACACAAACCTATAGACTGGTTAAACGGTTGAAATTTTATTCTACCGGATACAAAAGGACTCTTTCCAGTTTCTTTAATACTTTTTTATTTATCTTATTGTAAACTTTAATTATGAGATTTTTCTGTTCTAGGATGCGCTGCAAAAAATGAGACTTTTGGACGACAAGATAATCTATTTACTGAATACCACTATACCTACGGAGTCATTTAAGGGTCAAGCTGACCCTACAGTCAAATGTAAAGATCTGTTTCAACAAATACAGTCCGGTCATTCCCAAAGGGAAATAGCGATAAAAAAATGCCTAAATGCTGCCAGAGAGAGATTGCACAAGTTAAAAACTCAGAAAGACATGGGACAAGAGGATCCTCTATTAATAAAAAATTTAAGGAAAGAGCAGAATAGATTACGCTTACTTCAATCGGAATTAAGCGTCGAAGAAATAGTGAAAAATCGAACAACGCAGGTGTATTATGAAAGATGTCGTAGATTTTATAAGCCAAACATGGACGTGTAAATATATAACAAACGTTCCAGATGGATAGATATTTTCGAATTACTTTATAGAAAACATTTTGATTATTATTCTGATAACTACTAACAGTCTTTTAATTAGGCTGTAAATTTTCATAAGTGTGTACAATTGAATTGATGATGCACAACAGCACTGGGATACAGAATGTGAATTAACATAAATAAAGTTTTTCACCTATTTTAAAACACCTTTTATTTTTATAGGCAACATGGTCGTTTAACAATATTTTCAAATTAAATCTAGTCATCGATATCACGTGGTTTTTTAATATATTCTTATACATACCACTAGTGCTAACAACAATACAGTTGCACTAAGCAACCAGGAATCAAATTGTATATTGTACATGCTAGTAATAATTCATTACAAATTGTAGAGATTGTTCTTTGCGTTTTGTATTACCAAGGAGGAATAAGATACTGTTATTATACGCACAGTTTAATAATAAAACATTGTTTAATATATAGTGCTTATAAGTTAAAATTATTGTCTGTTTAAGAGTATCAAATGTAATTGGGGACTCGAGCCACCAATAATTACAACCATATTGCTCACATTTTAGACATGCTTAGGGAACATCGTTCTATATTAATTTCAAAACCTTAAGTTATTAAGTCTCTACATACATATACATTCCATGATATATATTATGGAATTCTTAGCGAAACTAAATGATTTAGGACTTTCCTTTCTCTGCCGATGCTTCCTTGGATGCTGCATCCTTTAGTACACTACTCTGATATTCTCGATTAATTTTTTCGTGCCAATCTAAATTATACTGTGTTAAATTTTCTCCTCGTGCTCCTTTAAATTTTCCAGTATATATAGCTGCTATGCAACCAATAACACTGGCCACAATCATATAGTTACATAATCGGATGCGGAACTTGGATCGTGCCTGTGTTATACATTCTATCCTGTATTAGGAGCAAAATGAAAATATAAGTACTTATAAGCTTTATCTAGCTATTTTGCATATATGACTTAATCTTTTATACTCATTGCACTTTGACTGCAAAGAGTTACTCTTCTACTAAAAAATGCATAAAAGTTATAGTAAGAAGCTATTGCTGTACTTAGTTATGACAAAATAATAATGTTAAAAATAATTGAATATTTTTAACACTTACGTCACTTTATCTGGGACCTCTGCAAAACTGGGATAACGATTCATCCACGATAAAACTCTTTTGTCAAAGTTTGTACACTTATGCATGAGTGTTCCTAAAATGTGCACACGTATACATACATCGATAAGCTATCAATTTGTCAGACAACTCGAACTAATCTCTAATGAAAACAAAACAATTAGTATATTTACCATATGAGCCTGAGCTTGTAGAACCTGCTGTAGCCTGCCCAGAAGACTCTGTGACCGGTTGCTTTGAATCGAAGACAATGGCACTGTTACTTAGTGGGCGAATCCCCGATCTACCAGTATAGCGCATTAAGCACTGCAACATTCTTTTGAACGGTACAAATTAAAAATTGCAAAATTACAAAACTTTCGAGATCAGTCGTTGGCTTGTGAAAGATACAAATTTCATCAGAAATGTAAGCATAGGCAAAAGCATCTTGAGTTGCCAATGGGTTTTGCTACGACTCCAGAAATGCGCGCAATTTTAAGTCACATTTCACTTTTCCATTTTGTTAATACTTTTTTAAATTTATATTTAATTCTAATTAAAAGCCCAAATATTTCGATCCATTCCGTCCATCCTTCATTTTGACTCATTCAACCTAGGTTATGTTGAAATTATTTATAAATAACCCATTTTTTATTTTTATTTCTAGAAACTACCGAAGCATCATTGCGCTATGCTAAGTAACTCAACGCAATGTCACTGTCGTACAAGTAACATCGTGGAAACGACACGGTGAAAAATCCGACCACTCATGCAGTTTGCCGTACTCCGTTTCCGACATTCATATGTTTCAGGTTAATCCTCAAACATTTTTATCTATACTTACTTGTTCGGAGCAATTTTATAGGTATCAGGCAGGAATCAAATTTTCTTACTTCCTTTCTTACGTCTCTTCGGACACTAACCAATATGCCCACCCTCGCTCGTTTAATATCTAACTACGCGCCGAGATGACACGTGACTTTAAGCACTCGCCGTGCCAACATTCACCAACACGAGCCCGAGTATTCGATGCTTCCGTGATGCTGTCTGAATCCTTGTGTTCCCTGAGCCCGGCGCGTCGAAATTTTATCGTTCGATCGTTAACACCGTAGCAAGTACTTTGTGGGCCCAGGATTCTCGAGGTCAGCAACGGTTCGTGTATCACGAATAATATACAAAAGAATTTATAATTCAATGAATAGTAATGGTTGGATGACGTTACGCTATTACTATTAAAGCGTTTAACACCTTTACAATAAATAATTGAGGTCTGTTCATCCTGACCGGTCGTTACATGGTGATGGCATATCCATGTGTCTACGTGACATTCGCCTCGTTTACCTCGTGCTGGTTTCTCCCTCATTCCGTTACACATAACTTTTTATAGTCCGTTCCAACCGGCGATCCTTCCGCGAAAGATGCCGTGTAATAATTATCCGCATCGTTAATGTACGTAAGATATGATTCCGGAAATACAGCCGATAAACCTTCGCAAATGTGGGAAAATTTTAGAAACACCCTGATCAGGGCAAACCTTGTCCCTTTTGCCTTTGTATTGCGACATTTAAAAAATATTTTAGGCCGACTCCACGGTAGGAGCATAGCTGTTTTTGCTTTTCAGCGGGTTTTCGGAATGCCCAACCTCCGCCGAATTTTTTTTGCACTTGTCTCCACATCAATCCTAAGAATAAAGTTCTTACCTCGAATAGTCGAATACTGCGAAAAATCCTCCCGAGGCTTATCTAACTGCGGATATAAGCCGAGTCATTTCGCGTATGATTTTTACATTTCCCTACTAGCGTTTTCGCGCGTTTTTCAAATGTTTCCGAGCCGTATCGCAGGCCGTACAGTGTCGTTGAGTGTGTAATAGTAGTAGATAAGTAGATAAAGTCAAATGGAGCGTCACGAATGTTCTTCCCTTACCATCAAAAACGAGCAGAATCGGTAAGCGTAGGTAAGCCACCACCGTCAACTGCCGCATGGTATTACCATCACGAGTTCGTGAGCCGCCAACGGCGACTGGTATGTACATGGTACCGCAATCGCGAGTGCGCGAGCTCCTATCAGAAATTCGTTGCGTCGCCCTTGGGGGCAAAAAACGGTGAAAGCTAACGTACGAAACCAGAGGGCAGCACAGGAGGCGATCGCACGATCCTGCCCGTGAGCAATCTCCCAACTCATCTCTGGTATTAAACACCCTGGTCATATTTTATTCGCATTCTAGCTACAGTTTTCACTTTTAAGATATCCACTGCCTCTCTAGAGATCATTCATATTCATCGGTTGATAGGCATCTATTTTTCAATATGGCGGTCGAACGTTGTCGTTCTCACATCTGCGCTTTGAGAACGTACGTTAAAATTTCCCGGTTTTTTCTGCACAATAAAATATTGTAGTAACGTTACGATTGATTCTACGTCTTTAATTCAAGATCTACATCATTATTAATATATTATTCGATTTGATAAGATGGCAAGCAGTGAGCAAAGGCTCAGAGAAAATTGCGCCGGTGGGTCGAAGGGAACTGCATCTAAACAAGAGAAACGCGAAAACACGTTGACGAACGGCGGCAAAGGTTCCGGAGACGACGCCGATAGTTTGGAAGAATTACCTCTCGATATCGGGGAACATTATTTGGTGCGCAGATCCGATGATTCTTGGCGTAAGTCATATCCACCGAAGAAAAAATAGAACGTATTTTGAACACTGTTTATTTTCATCTCTTGATGCTGCCCTACCTTTTATAGTAAATACTTCTTTATGTACTTCCAGACCCAGCTGAGATAATACAGACTCGTTACAACGAGGCTGATAGTCATTATGAGTATTATGTACATTACGAGGGTCACAATAGGAGATTGGATGAGTGGGTGCCGAGGGACCGAATTATGTCTAGCAGGTTTGACATGTCTGATCGAAATTGGAAAAACAGTGACAGAAACCCATCGGGTGACTTGCTCGCCGATTCTTCTGATAGAAAGATAACAAGGAATCAGAAAAGACGGCATGATGAAATTAATCACATACAAAAAGTAATGCTTAATGGATAGTCCCTGCTTTCAATGCTGTAAGGCAATTGATCAAGTACTTTAATGGGTTTGATCTGTTTAGACATATGCCGAAATGGATCCAACCACTGCTGCATTGGAGAAAGAACACGAAGCTATTACAAAAGTCAAATATATCGATAGAATACAGATAGGTAAATAATTTGATTATTGCATTAGGCAATAGATCTACGTTTAACAATTTGATGATCAAGAACGTGCTCATATAATTGCTTTTAGGGCGGTATGAAATAGACACTTGGTATTTCAGTCCATACCCAGAAGAATATGGCAAGCAACCTAAACTTTGGATTTGCGAATACTGCCTAAAGTACATGCGCCTTGAGAAAACATACCGATACCACATGGTAATTATTTTTCTCTGTACTGTTTAATTCTGAGCATAAGACTTTAAATTATAAAAGTATTATTTTTAGAGTGAATGTACTCATAGGCAACCAGTTGGCAAAGAGATATATCGTAAAGGAACTTTGAGTATCTGGGAAGTGGATGGGCGAGAACATAAGATATATTGTCAAAATTTATGTCTGTTGGCTAAATTATTTCTGGATCATAAAACACTCTATTTTGATGTCGAACCGTTTCTGTTTTATATCTTATGTGAAGTGGATAAACACGGTGCCCATCTTGTGGGATATTTTTCAAAGGTGAGACTATCGGCTTTCATTGAATTACTTTAAGTAGTTTGAATTTGATACATTTATTATTATTTGCTTTTAGGAAAAGGAATCGCCCGATGGCAATAATGTTGCTTGCATTTTAACGTTGCCACCTTTCCAAAGACAGGGTTATGGAAAATTACTTATTGCCTTTAGTTACGAGTTAAGTAGAATCGAACAAACTGTAGGAAGCCCAGAAAAACCATTGAGTGATTTGGGTAAATTATCCTACCGGAGCTATTGGAGTTGGATACTCCTTGAAATATTAAGAGATTTCCGAGGGACACTCAGCATCAAAGATCTTAGGTAGGCATACGGTAAAAGGATTATACTTAAATCTGTGGGCTACCTTGATTTCAATTAATCATCAAAATTGTAGTATATACGTATTAACTTTTTTTAGAATATGTGAAATAAAGATTTCTTTTGTTTCAGTCAAATGACCAGTATTTCTCAGACAGACATCATATCGACACTACAAAGTATGAATATGGTGAAGTATTGGAAAGGTCAGCACGTTATCTGTGTTACTCCAAAGCTAGTCGAAGAACACATAAAAAGCAGTCAGTTCAAAAGACCACGACTTACGGTTGACAGTAGTGCTCTCAGGTGGGGAGCACCTCCCCGGAAAAATGTAAAACCAGGAAAGAAATGAGACAAGCTACATTGTAGGAGTACCTACAGTTCCCTCCAGAAAAGATGGACCAGTCATCCAGAATCGATTGGCTGCATCGAGAGTCGTGAACAGAATTCTTTGCGATGATATCCAGAATTCTCAACCATCTGTAACGCGCAGCGCCCTGAATTGCTGACAGAGATTTTGCAACTGCTATTGTGTAAATGCACATGTAGTTGGTATGGTTGTATTTAAGACATGATCTCCGAGGTTTGTTACGTATTTGCTGTTACATTACAGTACCACCTGAGAATCCTTGATCCTTGTGGATCAAATAAGGATATTTGTATCAGGAGTAACAGTGACATTAATAACAGTATCGCTTAGCAATTATACAAGCTGATCGATTTTATGCCCTATAGCTTCAACTGAAGCAACCACAAGCTGTCATACAAAGAGAAGTAACAGAATTGATCTAATAAATTCTTTTTCTCACAACAATCTCATTAAATTGTAAATATATTGACTCATTACAGTTGTAATTTGCTGTTACTGTCTTGAGACGACCATTCCTTGATTACAATTTATTGGATGATTTAAGTATTTCTTTTGCCCAATAAACAGTATACTTGGCAGTACCTGGTGACGTGCACACTCCATATCCCCCGTGACCATAATTATGTACAACCTGGTATGAAAATGAGATTTTACCAACAAATAATCAAGAACAAATTAATTTGCTTGGAAGATACAAACCTTGGTTAGAGAACCTTCGATTCGATCTGGTTCAACCCTGACGCTACCTTCTCGATGGGGTCTTATTCCTGTCAATTGCGTTACAGGTATTGCGCTTTTAAGCGAAGGAACCAACCGTTCACATCTTTCACGTATTGCTGTAATCTCGTAAGGACAAATTTGTGTAGTTTCTGAATCGAAATGTCGTGAACCTCCCAAAGTACATAAGCCACCGTAACCAGGTATCACATAAGTATCCAGCTCCCCATAGAAACAAGTCTTCATCCATGGCGCCTTAACCTTAAAAAATAGATATGTCAATTAATAACAAATGGAATTCTCTTAATTGTTGTATAATATGGAAATTCACATACTTTTAGTACTTGACCGCGTATTGGTATAACAGATCTGTCATTACAGAGTTCTCTAGCACCAAATCCAGTACAGTTGATGATCAACTGGTACTCGGGGCACAACTCCTTCAGGGAATAAATCTTTTTCTGCACTAGCTTGGCTCCATTCTGCTGCAACCTGAAAGATAATCTTTAAATGAATCAAGTCTGTACATCATAATTTGTTAAAACGTTGTAAAAAGAACTCGCCGATTCCTTGCCCAGGGTAAATACAAGTCGCACTGTGTAAGTAACGTTGTGAAAAATGATCCGTATTTCCAACTGCCTCCAACCAGCTGGTGTTCTTCATGCGTTGTTCTTCTGTATACAGGTACCACCTCTTCCAACCATCTGCTCTGTTAACATAAATTTAATCGACATTGCGCTTATTATATCGAATATAATGTCACTTCTCCAGTCACACCTTAACTACGTTCGGGTTGGAATTGGCAAATATGTATCCAGAAATGCTGGTGACTCCGGCAAGTGACGCTTCAGGCGAGCGACGAATATCGTCATAATATTCGTACGAGTCTTTCACCCATTTTCTAAAAACGAAATAACTTAGCTTTAAAAAGTGTACGTGTAATCACAGTTAAAAAGGAGTTCTGGAATGAACATTTTACCTGGTAATCTCTTCCGTAGGACCGGAGTACGACGATCCGATTCTGAATATCCCAGCAGCAACATGACTAACCGTATCTTCGAAGTTGGCCGCAAATACAGTTACCTCGGCATTTCGTAATTCTCTTTGTACTTCAAGAGCACTTGTAAGCCCTACAACACCGCCACCCACGACGGCTATCTTCATGTTTTTTTTTTTTATTTACTTAAAGGATACCGGAATAAAATCGTTTTTGAAGAATGTCAAATTAAACTTTCGCCAGTACATCCGTGCCCAGAAACTGACGGAGAATTTCACTTGAATGACAAAACTTTCCAAGCTCGGGGTGACATTAATTGGAGCGTTACGTGAACCGCGTCTGTCAGACTACAAAATGCGTCACTTATCTCTGAACGGATAAGTGCACTGAACGTACTAAAATATAAAAGCACCGACTGAATTTTAGATACATACATAAACAGATAGATACAAATAAAACCTTTCGTATTATAGAAAAATGTACACTTTGTATCTTAGAAAGACAAGATATTCCGAGAAATCAAGTATATAACTACGTGATAGTGGATAATCATGACTGGAATAAATGTCCAACCCGTTACTCCGAAGACAGGAATCTGGGAAGGGTACGAGCAGTCAAAGGCTATATAAATAAACAAAGATAATAACAACAATGATCGTAATAATAATAATAATAATAATTACTAATAATAATAGATAACACGTGCATACACGCTCGATACGGTTTCTATATTCTCCGGTTTGCGTAAGAACGAAGAAGCATTATACCGCTGTTGAACCGCGGATTCGCCCAGTGCTTCGATTGCACTAAAGTTCTTGTCAGTCGCAACGCCGTTTCGACAAACACTTACTAAAAACGATGTTATGTATGTACAAAAGTCGGAAAAAAGAAAAATCTATACGCCTCGGCGATTGCTCAATGTCGCTTTAGTTATGCCCCTTGACGTGTACGATTTAACAATGCCGAACCGTTCCTCGGACAGATCAGCCGTCACGCGCATACATCTCACGCATCTAATGTATGCCGTTTTAGCGATCCACAAACTGTTCTATAATCCACCATCGTGTAGCGTTTTCAGATACGCCGAGACGACGAGATAGGGAAGGCTTGTCACTCATGTACAAGGACTCGATCGCTAGACTTTGTTGCACGGTTGTATCGTGTAGTTCAGAGGCGGTGGGGGAACCAGTAGGGGCAACGGCGTCGGAGGTGGCGTCGCTTGGACGGGGCCACTGGTGGGAGAGAGTTGCACCTGCGAGTGCGTGGGTTCGATGGTGTGCACGGTTGCATTATAGGCTGCAAGGTAGCTCGGCCACTGATCAGGAGGAGGTGGGGATCCCGGCGGGGGTGGAGGTGGCGAGCGGTCATCCATGTCGTCGGAGTCGTCCAACATCATTGCGGTTAACGGGGTTATTCTAGGTTTTTTCAGTTTGATTATCTTCACCTGTAACAGAGAGAGCATATTCGGAACAACGTGGCTACTGACACGGTAGTGTGCTGAGAGCAAGAGGAAAAAAAAAAAGAAATATCGTACCTTGACTTTCTTCTTAGTCTTCGGTTGCTTCATCCTCTTCTGTTTTCTCCTACTTTTCCTGATCTTCTTGGTGACGTCGCGGATACCGTCTCTGAGGTGCGAGTGTCCAGGTACTGGAGGTGGAGGGGAAGGCATGTCGCCCTCGCCACCGCTCGGGCTTGTACCTTCTCCAGGTCTGACTCCATCGGCGAACTGAACGGATTTCTTACCTCGTCTTCGATTAGGTTTGAGCGAAGATGTTTGCTTCTTGTCCCAGTCTCGAGTAATGTCGTCCTTCAGCTCGCTTTGTACAGACGACTCGACCTTCTCTTCGGCTCGCAGATCCTCCTCCTCGGACAACTCGCCCGCACTGCCGTTAGTTAAATTATCGAACCTGGAATGATGGTGGCTCAGTTACGCAAACGCGGAAATTGGAAACAACGTTATCATACAATGTGAATTTTAAATGCGGCATTACTAACCCGAATCCCGGAGAAACGAGGATTCCTTTGATAGGCGCGGGAGGTAACAGCGGCCAGGAGCTTAGATACGCCGGTGTTCGGTCTTTCTCCTTTTCTACCGAGACGCTAAGTGTCTCTTCCGGTACGTTTTCCCTAATTTCTGGAGGCGCCGCAACTCGTTCCCTCCCAGCAGATTCTTCCTCCTCCTCGTCTTCGTCCTCGTCCTCCTCCTCTTCGCCATCTTCTTCCTCTTCCTCCGGCTCTTCTTCTTCCTCGTCAGCTTCCACTTCGGCTTCCGGTCCTTCCTCCTCTTCCTCCTCCTCGACCTCTGTATTCACAACCGGAGTCTCCTCTACTTCGCGCACAGTCGCAACCTTGTCGAGGTCCTTTCGTTGTTTGAGCCGACCTACCGGTTGTTCTTCGACATTGAGCACCGAAGGACTCGCCGATAGGACATTCGTAGGAACCGGAATAGGAGGAACGCGAGCCTGCTCCGAGTACAAGGAAATTCGTCGTCGAGAAGGTGGCCCCAATGGGACCCTCGTGCTCTCGGGTTGTCGAATGGCGCTCTTACGAAGGACGCGTTCCTCTCGACGTTTCGCCTTCTCGGCTCGTCGACGTTCCTTTTCCTTCTTCCGCTCTTCCCGCTCCTTTCGACGCGCTTCTAGAATTGCTCCATAGTCATAGACCGGTTGGATCGTAGGCTCTAAAGGATGAAGGGATTATTTGGAGTGTATCGCTCGGACTTGATAAAAATTTATAGATGAACTTACCTCGCACCACAACTTCCACTTTCGGATATACCGGCGCTGCTACCGGTGTGGGTACGGGAACCGCCATCGGTACCGGCAGAGGAACGGGCACAGGTATTGGAACAGGGACCGAAAGAGGAACGGGCACAGAGGGTGCAATCTCCACCGGGGATACTATCGGCACAGGAACGGGGATGGAACCTGAAGGGGTAGCAGAAGTGGAAACGGTTACAGGCGCAGAGGTGCTGATGCCCACCGCAGGTGGAGGCAAAGCGGGGACGCTCCCACTGGGGTAACGATGCAACGGTGCAGCGACCACTTGTTGCTCGACAGCAGGTGCATTCGTTACCCCGCTCCAGTCCAACGTCGCGGTGGGCACAACTTGAAGAACGTTCCCTACTCGAACCACCCGGGTCGATGCATGACTAACAGGAGCGGGTGGTGGTACGTTCTCACCGTGAGCGCTTACTACCGAAGCTGCTTCCACAAAATCCGCAGGGACGACTTGCAAGACGTTTCCAACCTAGAACATCAGTTTCCCAATTAAGTCCGGATTTCTGCATCGAGTCATGTAGGTGGTAGGTGATTTGACGTACTTGAAGAACGGTAGGTTGTTGGCGGTGATAGAGTCGTTGCTGTTGATGTTGTAAGGGTGGTAAGGACGTCGAGCTGGGAGATGCCGTGTACGAGACGGTATCTGCCGAGAATCCCTCTTGATTGTACTCGCTCGCGCCGCCTTCTTGCTTTTTGATCCCCAATTCCAGTTCCAACCTGATATCGGACTGCCTTTAATTTATGTTCAAGGATAAAAAGACAGTCCCGTAATTATTGACACGTACCTGTCGTCCAAGGATAGGCGTTTGGGAGATGCAGTTTCATCGATGCGCGGTGGATACGTGAGATTGTTTCCTGAGTAGTAGTAATACTCATTTCCACCGGCATTTTCATTCGAGTATCTGAACGCAGCAACGTTATCACCGCCGACGGTGTCTTCGTTGGGAAGCATTTCCGAGTCATGAATGGCCGTATTTGTCGAGATGGCAGGTGACGAAGTCACGGTTTGAATTGTCTCTATTCGTCTGCCCCGCTCAGCACCTGCGGTACCGACTATATTTTCAATTCTCCTGGTATCCCTTTCCTCGATGCCAGTTCTGGACCTATCACTGTCGCTGCCACCTCTGATTTTCGACGGGGAAAGTGACCTATGAATTGATATGCATATATATTAATATTTTACCGCTCGTCGTGAATATGGCTGCCTTCCTCTGCTACTTACCTGGAGCGTCGACGACGCTCCATAGACCTTAAGGTTCGCTCAGGACTCCTGGCTCCGGATCTCGACCTGGACCTAGATCTTGATCTGGACCTTGACCACGACCGCGATCTGGATCTCGATCTGGATTTCGATTCGAATCTACCACAGCGATCCGCAGGTTGACGGCCTGGAGATCGCCGTCGTGGCGGTGACTTCGACCGTTTGTAGATTTGTTCCCTTGACCTCCTTATGGACGTCGACGACGCCGAGGATCCTGGCCTCGCGCGGTCTTGACAAGGAGACCTTTCCCTGTCCTTTTCCCAGCCTCTCGAAGGTCTCTCGTCCATTCTTCCCCTACTATTTAACGATGATTAATTGTTAATTAAATTAAAAATAGTTTCCAAAATAGGTACAGAAATAAAATATCGTATGTGAATTTTCTACCTCCTTCTGCGTCTACTAGAAAATTCGTTTCGTAGCGGGCCTTCGGTAATGTCCCTCTCGAGACTCTCGTCTCGACAATATGACCTATCATCGTAGTCTATATCTAAATCTTTACAGGGTCCGTAACCCATCTCGCTGTTGTCACGAGGACCCACTTCCTCTTCGGATTGCCAAAGCAGTCTGTCTTCTTCTCCCCTTTCTCTGCGTCTTTTAATAAATACAGTTCATTAGGATACGAACGGTACCGTTAACAGTTGACGACCTAAAATATAACCCTTACCCTGGTGTTCGATATCTCTCGGAATCTAGGCTTCTCTCTCGCAGCATCTCAATGGGGTTGTAGGACCTCCTTTCCCTATCTCTCTCTCTAGACCTGTCGTCGTATCTTCTTCTGGTACGATCACGACCAGTCTTGCTCACAGCGTCTGTGCGTTTTCTCTCTTCATCTATAAAATATTAAAAATTTTACGGGTAAAATTCTATTGCCGAGTTTACAAGAAAATTTACCTTTAGCGGACGAATATCCGGAATGTCGGGGTGGACTTCGCAAGCTTCTCTCTTTCTTCTGATCGGGATACTTAGATCTGATGGATCGATCTTCATCCAATCTCTTCCTCTCTCTGTCTCTATCTCGACCAGCGGCAGCTGCATTTTCCTCCCGTCTTCTGGGACTCTTACTTCGGCTTCTGCTGAAGCTGCGACTGTCGCTGCGACTTCTGCTAGTTTCCCTCTCTCGCAATATATTCGGACTGTCGCTTCGCTTTCTTCTGCCACGCCCGGTAGATGGGCTGGGGTACTTACGTGGTTCGGCACAAGAAATCTTCGAATTTCGACGGTCGTACTTCCTTTCTACCCTCTCTGCCGAGGATTTCAACTCTGCATACGTAGCATTCCTAGGCGTAGACCTACCTTGATCCTCGTCATCCCAATCTTCCGGCTCGTCATCTTTCAATCTCCTAACAGGACTGCTCTGCTGCTCCTCCTTTGATTTTGGCTTTTCGAAAATCACTGGCGGCTCTATATTCATCGCTTCGCCAATGTCCTGATCGATGCGACTTTCTTCCCTCCTATTGTCGAGGAACGTGGAATCACCGAACCTCTCAGTTGTTGAATATGTCTCTAGGACATCTGCGAGGTCGATTTCAGGACGAGGTATCTTTTCTTTCTTTTGTTTCTCCTCGATAGCTTCCTCTTCCTCGTCCTCTTCCTCTTCGTCATTGTCATCGTCGTCGTCTTCATCGTCGTCTTCGTCATCTTCATCGTCATTTTCTGACTCGTACTCGTCGTCGTCCTCTTCTTCCTCCTCAACGAATAATTCGGCCTTCTTAGCTTGTTCGGGTTCCTTCTCTTCCTCCTCTGCTACGCTTTCGTCCAACTTGCTGTCTTCGTGAACTGTTCCTTGGATGGTCTTCCTGTTGATCTTGAAAGATATCGTGGACCGTTGTGAAGCACTTGTGTCGGGTTCTATAGCTACCAGCTCTCCAGGTCGTTTAGTTGGTAAGCTGTTGGTACGTCGAAGTAAAAGTTGATTTGGAATTAGTTTCAGAGCTGACATTCCGCCGTCGTTTCCTTCCTTCTTCGAGGAACTAGAGGTATCGTCGGCTTCGTCCGTAATAACGTCTTTCTCGCGAGGGGAAGGCTTCAATTCCTCCAGCTCGTAATCTATGAATATGTCCATTTGTCTTTCCTTCGAAAGGCAGGTCTCGGAAACCGCGTCCTCGGAGTTGGTCGTTCTTTCGGAGCTCTTATCCGTCAAACTTTCTTTACTATGAGATTCTGTTTCTGCATTACGTGAATCTTGGGGCGCCAGTATATCTCCAGGAAACTGTTCTTTCGGCAAGGGTATATCGCAAACCGACGTCTCGTCCATTATCTCGACTAACCTAGACCGTTTGCCCTTTTTAGACTTGACTCGTACACATGCGTCAGCATCCTGCAAAAAAAAAGAAGCGGGAGTCATAATTATAGCTATAATTAATAACAAGAATAAATGATTCGCTTCATCACTATCGCTATCAAAGACACCTTATATCGACTCATTTTGATATCACTCAAACCTATATGTCATCGAAGGTACGTGAACAGAGCTCATGAAAATCGATGCTGATTGGCGAGCGTACAGGTGCATTGTTTTCTATGAACAAGAACTGACATAAAGGTCGATTTATACCTAAACTGTAGCTTTAGACCGCTTTAGTTTAATACAGCTGCTAGAATAAACGTAACAAAACTTACTTCTTCAGATCTCTGGGAATGAGCCGAAGAACCAGGACTGTACAGCTCGACATGTTGTCTTCTCAAACGCGCAACAGCTTCAGGTTCCTCGATGATGAGCTTCTCGCAGAATTTCATCTCGTTAGACTCTGTTCCAGTGTTTGCGAACGCAATTGTTGCAGATATGTCCTCTTTAGATAAAAATGAAAAACTAGACGACAGGACTGACTTTCTGCTATCATCGCTGGTCACGGAACGTTCAATTTCGGTGTCCTCTTTAATTCTTTTAACATCAGCTGACTTATTGATATTCAAGATGTCCGACCACCCGCTGGCAACCTCGAGTTGGTCCGAGGAGATAGGTGCAACCTTCATCCTTTCCTTAACGGTCTCCCATTCCTCGCTAACGGCAGGACTTTTGACATCCTCGACGTCCCACCGGCTTTTCCTGTCGGCAGCGGATTTTCTGGACTCGGTTCCCGTTTTCGACGACCTGGGAATCAAGACCTCAGCCTTTTCCACGGAACTCCACTCCGCAGCCTCAAAGGGATCCATCTCGTCACGGTGATGCACCTTTTCGCTCTTATTATCGGACTCCTTTTCATCCTTAATAATTTCCTTAGGGATATCTAAACTTACAGAGTCGACGTCTTCCCTTCGGGATTTTAATTTCTTCTCCTGAATCAGCATCATCTCTTCGCGATCGCCCTCCTCCTGCTCCTCTTCCCAGATTCTGATAGCGCATTTGCGGAACGCGTCGGGGTACTTTCGTCTGGCACTCTCAGACTTGGCCTTCTCCTCCACTGCGATGTAAGTGTCCGTTTTGCTGTCGTATCTCACCTTCTTCTCGAACCTTTTAATACTTTCAGGTTCGTCTAATTTTTTTCTGCTGGTCAGACGCGAATCCTTTAGGGCCTCCAGACTGTCCACCTCCCAATCGTCCAACATAGATATCGGGTCTCTTTCGACCTTGCTATCAGCCCTTTCCAGTTGCGTTAAAGATGGTACATTTAAAGTGTCGAATTCATTCTCGGTCCAGCTGTCCCTTGTCCTGCGTTTCTTCTTATCCTTTTCGCGCTTAGCATGCTTATCCTTGTGACACATTTCGTCCTTCTCCCAGTCAAGGAACATTTCTGGCTTCTCGTTACCTTTCCGCTTTCCTTTCTTCCTATTTCTAGAACTACTGGAGTCGTTTTCGCTGTTTTCAGGTTCTCCCTCGAATTTGTGCCTTTCCCATTCTTCGGTGTTCGCCTGATCAACGGCTCGCTTTTCTCGAATTTCCTCGACGAGGGATTCCGAATTGGAGTGCCTCGACGTTTCGTCCGATTTTTTCACGGATTTCATGTCTTGATCTCCCCGCTCGATGATCTGTTTCTCTATCTTGGATCTTTCCCAAGCTTCGTTCACTAAACAATCCGCCTCGGAGCGATTAGACTTCGCCTTAGAGTCCTCCAGTCTTTCAACAATTTGCGTGGACGAACTTTGGCTTTTCGCTACAGAGATGCTTTTGGTGAAGGGAGCCGGTACTTCGATTTCCTTGTTCCATTCCAGAGGGAAGTTTTCGCGATCACCTGAATTTAATCGTTGTCGCCTTAAAGACTGCTGAGACGACCTTTTCACTTCATCCTCCACCGTTCTCGCGATCCTCATTTCTTCGGATTTATCCCTTTCAAACGTGTCGGATTGCACGTCTTTAATAGAATGAATTTCAACTCTTGCCGGTTCGGGCACAGCTTTACTTCTTTGAGACCTTTTTTCTTCCACCTCGACCTCTTTCTTAATCTTGATATTTTCCCTTCCGGCTTTATCTCTCTTCTTACTTTTATGAGAATCCGTGGAACTGGAATCAGAATCCCGGGCTCGTTTACGTTTCTTACGACTCTTCCCACTACTTCCTCGGCTTTTCCGGGAGTTATCGCTCTTTTTCCTGCGTTTTCTCTTCCGAACGTGTTCTGCACTGGAAGAGTAGCTACTGCTACTACTATCGCTAGACTCCGAGCTGGACTCCTTAGTTTTAGACACCTTTCGTTTCTTCACACGTTTTTTACTTCTCTCTTCAGAGTCGTCCGAATTCGAGGACGTAGTCGAGGATTCCGTGCTCGATCTTACCCTCTTTTCTTTCCTGCGATTCCTTCGTTTACGAGTATGTTTCGCATCCGCGTTGGCTTCATCGCTAGTCATCTCCACTTTAATTCTAACGTTTTCCCAATCGCTCGGAATCGAAAAAGAATCGTCGGATTTCCTTCGTTTATGCTTTTGCACCTGAATCTTCTCCTCGACCTTCTTACGCCTACTATTTTCTAATAACTTTTCTCCGTCTTCCTTACTCAATTGCTTCTGCGAATCGCTTGCCCTTGATGACGGCACAGTGCTTAAGGACTCTTCGTTTTCCTGGCCGGCCTGAAGTTGCTGTACCGTTCTGGCTGTTAATTCTTTTTCCTTACTCAGCGACTCATCGGCAATCGTGGCCAGAGCTTCCGGGATCGCGAAACGTTTTGGATGTAAAAAGTTCTCGAGATTAAATTCGTGGTAGGTGGAAGGTGACGTAACTTCATCTGAACTGTTCTTGGAAGAGGAGGAAGAAGAACTCGTTGAAGACGACGATGAATAGGACGAGGGCGAAGACGAGGAAGATGACATGGCTTTGCCACCTACGGGAGTAACCGTTTCGGGAACTTCGCTGCTAACCATACGCATAAATTGTTCGTATTCCGAAGCAAGTTTCTCGTCACCCTTTTCACTGCCAACGACGGAAGAGGTCCTCGATATCTTCTCCGCAGCCTCATCTCCTCTGAATAGAATGCCGCGAGCTGCTGAAAAAAAAAAAAAAAAAAAAACAATGATCTCTTTGAATTTATCGAGTAAGACACAATTCCACTACCATTGGAGATATATTACTTACGGTCTGGCTTGTCGACTCCCGGGATAGTGTTAGGGATTAAAAGCGCTTGCGGTTCTGACTTTTCCAATTTTTCCTTATATATTTCATTTCTTTCCCCTAGTTTCTTTTGCATGTCGCTATCACATTGTGGAGAAGCATCATCTTCGCTGTCCCATTTTGACTTCGGAATCCATACAGCGTCTCTTGATGACTGGGGTACAAGTAGCTCACTGGGTGATCTTAAGCTTGTCGAATCACGTATTCTGCTGTACCACGCTCGAGAGTGCACTTGAGTATCTTCTATATCATCTTCTTCGTCGAGTTTTCTGTAATTAAATGAAGCTGACATTATAAAATACCGTGCCTTTTTATACTAAATGTTCAACACGTCATAAAATTATGAATCGCAAATGACACTCGGTATTCAAAAAGGCGCGTAAGCAAACGAGATATTTGTATAAATTTTAAGACAAACCTTGTTTGTGTTGGCTCACATATGTCTTTTATTCGTTCCCGGCGTCCAGGTGTTACCGCTTGAAGGATTTGTTGACAATTCAGAAAAAGAGAAATACGTGGATTCTCGCAGTAAAGTACTGGAGGACTTTTGCCCTTCTTTGTTACTTTTATTGATTCCGGGGGATACTCTTTTGGACCTTCGATACTCAGGCCGATGAATGAACGACGTTTCATTCGGTAATCCCGTAGCATTAACATTTGTGCTAAATGACGAGCGTAGTCCTCTGCAGTCCTAAAAGATTTTAAACACGTGTATTAAATAATAAAAATATTTAAGCAAAATTTTTGTCGTACCTATTTTTTACTGAGCGATCCAAATTTTCTTGTCGCCGAATTATATCAACAGATTCAGTAGCTTTCTTCAATTCGATCCAGGAATCATATTTTACTAAATCTTTCTCCTTTTCCTTTTCTTCCTCTTTGTCTTTATCCTTTAGTCTTTCCTTTTCTTGATCCTTTGATCTTTCACGTTCTCTGTCTCTTTCTTTCAAGTTGTCAGGTTCTCTTTCCTTTAGTTTGTCTTTCTCTTTTTCCTTTGAGTTATCATTTTCTTTATCTTTCATGGAATCCTTCATATCCGTTCTTTTGGATCTTTCTTCTTTTCTATCTCTGTCCTTTCTTCTATAGTCCTTTTCAGAAGATAATCTATGGTAATCTCTACTACCATTTCTCTCTCTGTCCTCTCGATCACCTTTGCTTCCACGATATGCCCTCCGTTCTCTACTATTTTGCCGCCTCCTGTGAAATACATACTAATTAGTATAAAAAAATTAACAATACTATTTTATGATAATTGAACACCGTATAAATACCGTTCCGCAAATTTTCTAGAGTTGACAAATTTTCCACCTGAATCTCTACCATCCATACGAGCATTTTTGGAATCTGAAAATTATATTAATTATATTATTAAAAACAATGAAAAATATGAATACTGGTACATTAATCACTGATATACCTTGCATAAAGCCACGACTTAGGAACAACTTATTCATGGATTCCTCTCGAACAATTTCTTCTATAGCCAAGATTCTCTCATCAACTGAAATTAAAAAAAAAAAAAAAAGAATTAATACTTTACTTAAATGTTAGACATAAACGAAATGTCATGTAATATGAATGAATGCGTTACATACCTGGTCGTTTCTTTCTATAGCCACTACCAGAGCTACTTTGCTGCTCCTGAGCTTGTAAAGTTGACTCAATTTTTAATTTAGCATCATTTAATTCATCAAGTAATGCTTTAGCTGGATCGGTCGATCTAGTTTTATTCCTCACTACTTCAGTAGAAACTGGTTTTACATCTCCAATTTTTTTAGGTTTTTGAAACTTCGAAGTAATACCGAACTTATTAGCAAATGCCATTAAACGCTTTTTCGCTTGGATTTTTCCAAGTACTGGTTTCAGAGTTTTGGGACTTTCTGTTCTGGTCTCATTTCCATTCGTTATTGTTTCTTCAGGAGGACACTTAGACATTTGTAGAGTTAGCGGGTCATTTTCTTCTAACTTTTTTTGTTCAGTCTCAATTAGTTGTGGTTTATTCTCAGTATGTTCAACAGATTCTGATTCGGTATTCTTTGCAATATTGCTTGTCATTGAAGGATTTGTATTTAAGTTATTGTAGAAAGTGGGATTTTCTGTTTTGATGTTGTGACATTGCGCAGCAACGGGTACATGATTTGAAAATTCATTTGTTTGAAGATTATGAAACTGCGGTACATGCAAATCCCTTTTATACATATTGCTTGATGAATCAGGTAATGGGGGTGGTGGCACACTGAACTGAGGCATCGGACCAACAGAGGCATTGTGGAGTGGAATATTTCCAAACCTAAACATATTCTATTTAAAATATCCAGAAAGCAAGAATTTACTTGAAAAGTACGAACACAATAAAAATATTTATTCTTACTGATTTTGTGGTGCTGTATTCATGGTACCAGGTAATGGGCAGTTATACCAATAGTTTCCAAGTGGAAAAGGTGGAGGTTTGCCTGTAAATAATGGCCAGAAGTATTAGCATCAATTATAATTGCTCTTGTACCATAAGAAACCTTACGATCGCATTAATGACATTTCACAGAAGAGTGAAATTTTTTGTGCCGATTTACCTGGAAAGCTATCCTTTGCATTATTAAAAGGGACCACATTCGGCTCTAGTAATTCCGAGCTTTGTCCGGGATAATTCAAAGACATTCCGTTATTAACATCCACCGGGGCTGCTGAATCACTTTCCACTTAATAATCAGTTATCTTCTGATTATGGCATCAATTTTTGTTCATAATGAAAAATGGATCATTAGTAGTATTATTCTTTAATTGTATAAAAGTGTTAAATCTCACAAAAATGTGACAAAATACGTAGGCCAATGAATACCTGCAACCGATTAAACTTAGCGAAGGTCCCAAAACTGTCATACGACCACTGTCAACTGGATTATTATGCAGAGTGCCGAGTCGTTCAACAGGTCCAAATTCTGGTCCCAATCCTGGTGCGAATCAACAATGACTCTTGCTAAACTCTGGGTAGTCCGAGCAAACTAAGTACAGATTCAGGCTTGTATAGATAGAAACAGATGTACGTGTGCAAACGGTGAGAGCTCTGACTAAAATTATCAACGTTGAATTTTTTCCTGTTGATATAGTATAAGGCTTTCGTCATGCCATTCTGTTTGCAGCATATATACCAAGGAATCTACTATCAATGACAGTTATTACGATCACGAAGAATCACGTAATGCATTTGACATAACCAAGTTGGCGGAAATGTGACTGCCCCCCAAACGAGTAAGTCCGAAAAGCCATCAAAGGAACAGTACTAAATATCGATAAAGCTTCAACATTTTCTCCATTATTCCGATACTAGATCACGAAGCGTCCAACAGGCGCAATCCTACCATTCTGCTGTGAACATCCTACGACGAATACACAAGCGAGGACAACACCTTGCCACTATCCTCCACTGCTCTGCCGTAACGTCGCTTCCTCAGATACCTAATAATGTTTATCGATTCGCACTTTCTTCGCGATTTTTAGTCACTTGGAATTAAAGAAATATAACCGCGAAACCTTCTACTCACTCGCACAACTCGTCGCGAACATAATTTACAGCAGGAACTGAGTGATCGCAATGGAGTCGATTTGCCCGATCGCATACAGTGCTGCCCTCCGTCGAGGATACGGGAAGCTTATACATATCTCGTGTGGCACCATTTGCCGAACTTCAATATCATGTCTTACCTAATCAAATTTTAATATATATGCACCTAATTTGATTTTCGTCCGCGCTGAAAATGCAGCGCTACAAACTTGTCCACATATCGAACACCTACCAACATTGCAGGTGATAATACATAAGCGGTAAAATTTGAAATAACGTAAAATCAATACATCCCCAAATTTATTGCAAATATCTGATGTATCCACTACTTTCTATAAATAAACATTTTCAAGTTCCTTTCAAATATAAGCCATTTCCGTCCTTCCAAGATGAGATTTAGAGGTCGTGACCGGCTATAAGAGATTACATTCGGAATTGTTCGCACACTCCAGCGAAGAAATCGACACTTTGCACGTATGCTTCACTAATATTAGAAGCCGTAGTCTCGGGACATCTCTGACGAGGTGGGTCAGAATCAACTAATGGCAGCACTTCTCCGCGATAGCAATTTCTCTCGGTCTCATTTATAAATATCATAGCCCAGCAAGGCGGTGAGACGAAGTTCGATAAAACGCGAATATAAAAGGACGGCCTTTCAGGAGTACGAACAGATTCGTGCCAAAATAGTCTGGTCTCTACTCTCTACTATCCACGGTTGTACCATAAATCAATAAGAGTCACCATCCGTAATTTGACTTTAAGGCTGACTTCAAGGCTGCTGGTAGCGCATTTTCGTATTTTTTTGTTCTTTTTTTTTTTGCGTCAACAAGTGATTCAGACAGTCCGACCAATCAGTTTCGGTCGGTCTTACGACCCAGTGACAAACATTATCTTACTCTCTCGCTTGCTCTCGCATATTGCAATATTCCCTCGCATTAATAGTAACATTTCCGCATAAAATAATGGCGAATCCGAAACCAACGATTAAGTATACTCAGGTGAGTAGAATTAATTTATATAACAGATCTTGTCCAAGTGCAATTCGCTTAGTAACTACATTTCCGAGATCTGTCATTTTAGTAACGCGATATTTTTCGGTTTTGAAAATATACTCCAAGGAAAATACTTGCTGAATTAACCAATTATTAAAACATTTTTTTTTCCTATGTGGAAACTTTTTTCCTTATCACCAAAAAATACTCCAGTCTTTTCCACTAGAAAAAAAGCATTAATTGCATGGATCACAACATTCTGAATAATCAGACATCAAACGGAGTGCAATTAAATGTTGACAGAAAATTGTAATTGTAACCGTTTCCACGTCATCTAGAGTATTATGTTAGAATGCTACTACTCATTTTCGTATCCGTAACAAGGAGCCGTAGAATATTATTATAGCTCTTGAAATTAAGTTAACTCATGGTTTAAATTCTACATATTGAAAAGACGCGTTGAATTGGCGTTATTTTATCAATTTCGATTAACTTTAATTACGGCTCGCTCAAAATATTCGTCGGATCATGGGCCACGAATACAGGGTATATTTTTTGCGTAATTTTCAAATTTATATCCGATGAATGATTTGATGGGGGAAAAAAAAAAACTACTTCAAGCGGTATTGTTAACGTGCAAGATAATTCCATAAATAACGGGTTATTTATGTTGCGAATATCGTTATTTCTTGAGAATTCTCAAACGTAATAATTCACAGCTTGAATTCACTCCCTGATAGTGTATGATTTGTGGGATCGCGTTAAACAACTTTCTTAATGACGTACACGTACATTACCATTATTATGTATGCACGTACGTACTTTATATCGAATTATAAACACTGATAAGTAATACCTCCGGGTGTGCAAAAATAACTCATATATCAGCATAAGTTAAAGGCAAAACATCTTGAAGCCGAGAACGTAAATAGACGCTATAAATAAACGATGTTACAAAAAGGATATATTTTTCTCACAGATATTTATCAATAATGAATTCCTGGATGCAGAAAGCGGCAAGACCTTTTCTACTATAAATCCAGCAAATGGTTCGGTTATTGCGGACATTTCTGAGGGAGATAAGGTGAGTCCACGCGTAGATAACAGATAATATCGTTAACACGATCGATATCGATATGGTGAAAACATTAATTGACGTATCCACTTCAAAATCGGGGAATCCAACTTCGCTAATTCCTAACATAGAAAATATCCCATATTTTGTACTGATCTTACATGTAACCAATACGTATATGATAATCAATAGATAACAGATAAAGCGCCACGGTATCTAAAATTAATGACTATATTTAGGCGGATATCGATAAGGCAGTGGCAGCTGCAAAAAAAGCGTTCGCCAGAGGTTCAGCTTGGCGCAATTTAGATGCATCTGCACGAGGAAGACTTCTACAGAAGGTACAACTGATTATTCACATGGGACCACACCTGCCAGATGGACTGTTATATTTTTTAATTTTTCATCCTCAGCTTGCAGACGCTATTGAACGGGATATTGATTACATTGCAAGTGTGGAAACCCTTGATAACGGGAAAACGTTTTCAAATGCTATCGACGATGTACACAGTAGTATTGCGGTATTACGCTATTATGCTGGATGGTGCGATAAGATTCACGGAGAAACTATTCCTGCTGGTACAAGAACTGTTCCTTAAGTCCACTTTCTCGCCAATATTTTCTGTTTTATATTTCAATTTAACGAAATCTTGAGAATAATTAATTATACTTATACATGTTTTAGATGGACCTTATTTCACGGTGACCCGTAAAGAACCTGTTGGAGTAGTGGGCCAAATTATACCATGGAATTATCCGCTGGCAATGTTAGCATGGAAATGGGCCCCCGCTTTAGCAGCTGGATGCACTCTAGTTCTAAAGCCTGCAGAGCAAACTCCATTAAGTGCGCTTTACGCGGCAGCTCTTGCAAAGGAAGTCGGCTTTCCACCTGGTGTTGTCAACGTTGTTCCGGGTTACGGTCCAACAGCAGGTGCCGCTTTGGCAATACATCCCGATATTGACAAAATCGCTTTCACAGGATCAACTGAGGTTACTTACATAACTTTTACATTTATCAGTACAGACAAAAAATAGGAAATATTCAGAAACACTGAGAAACATAAAAACATGTAAATTGACAGGTAGGGCATAAAGTCATGCAAGCTGCAGCCAGTAGTAATTTAAAACGTGTCAGCATGGAATTGGGAGGAAAAAGTCCTCTTGTCATTTTTGATGACGCTGATGGTTTGTATATCTTAGGAAATGATTCTTACGTACTCAAACATTAATAAGCGGCTCTTAAAAAATTTTTTTTTTCCAGTTGAGGAGGCAGCGGAGATCGCCAGTTCAGCGATATTTGCAAACCATGGTCAAAACTGTTGCGCAGGCTCGCGCACTTTTGTTCATTCAAATATTTATGACAAATTCGTCAAATGTGCCGCTAAAAAGGCGGCTCAAATCACAGTTGGGGATCCGTTTAATCCAGCTAACTCGCAAGGACCGCAGGTTGATCAGGCTATGCTTGAGAAGGTATTAAATTACATTGAATCTGGGAAGAAAGAAGGGGCCATAGTGGAAGCAGGTGGAGAAAGAGAAGGCACCATTGGATACTTTGTTAAGGTAAATAATAAATTTGTTATTCTTATATCATATAAATTAATGTGACGTTTTGATGTTAATTGTAAAAAGTATCGTTGTTTTTTATGTATTATATTTGTTCAAACGTTAATTTAATGTTCAAGCCTACGATATTTTCCCATGTTACGGATGATATGAAAATTGCGAAAGAAGAGATATTTGGTCCTGTACAGTGCATTTTGAAATTTGATACACTGGAAGAAGTTATTGAACGTGCAAATGCTACATCGTATGGACTTGCTTCCGGTATTATTACTAAAGATATTGATAAGGCTCTTATATTTGCACAAACAGTACAGGCTGGAAGCGTATGGTACGTCTTTGCATTTTTTTTTTTTCAACTTTTATCTACAATCGTAATTTCAAGATATTATAAGAGTATTCATTATATTTTAAGTACATTAATATTTTCATTACAGGATTAACTGCTACGATGCTATAACTCCACAAACCCCATTTGGTGGATTTAAGAAATCTGGAATTGGACGCGAGCTGTAAGTAAACCACAATTGCTAAAAAATTGCCTCATTGCTTTAATTATTTTAAATCTCTATTGTGTTAACAGGCGAATACATATGACTTTTTTAATTCATTTGCAGGGGATCAGAGGGACTGAATGAATATCTTGAAACTAAGACGATCAGATGTAAGATTCCTAAACTCAATGTTTAAATTCACTTATCTTCTACATTCTTTGTTAAACATGAATGCCCTTATTATGTACATTATATATATTGAACAAGTTTATATGTTTTACGTACAAAATAAAAGATACTAACATCCAATCAATATTTTATTATTATATAAATCTGCAGTTGCAACACGTTAATGGTGTTTACTGCATAATAATTTACTACACAAATGGTCTTCATTAAGGTGTCATATCACAGACCCTGTGTGGCTCCACGGTTTGGCATAAAAGTTTCATAATAAGATTTTACCTTGCATCTACGGACTAGAAATATGCTCAAAACTCAGTATCGTCAGGAGGAATGCCAAGCTCTTCATCCGTCCAGTTACTTGGTTCTGGATAAGGAAACTCACCCTATAATTATAAAATCATGTCACGATAATGAATATTAATAATATAAATTAAGAGCAAGTTCCTTTAACACATATTTTACGATTCTTCTAGTGGGCATTAGTAAATTTTAATAACAACTACCAAAATGTCACTTTATCGGTAACCCATGATAAGAATTAAAAAAATCAACCTAAGTGGAATAACTACAGTATACTTACAACAACGTGCCCAAACTCATGCCACATATTATAGAATATCCACCAGTACATCATACCCCCAAGTGCCTCTGCCCAAATTATTTGGTCTTTGGAATATTTTGGAATAGAGCGATACGTAAACCTAGAAACACCTACATATTAAAGGTGTACTTATACAGCCATAAAAACAGCATAAAAAATAATGTATCATAAAACTTGCCAAAAATAATACAAAAGTAATGAATTACATTGATATCGATCCATAAACCAAATAAAATTATTACATAACATTGAAAACTTACTCATGACTGTTTCGTTTAATTTGCTGTAAAACTTTTCGATTGCCATTTGTCAAACGGGATGTTGACTTCAAGATGCTTAAACCTCGAGATAATAACATTTCTCAGTTAAACACCCCTACCAGGTGGATAAACTCTGCCCACCGCAAAACTTTATTCTTCCCGATTCCACTACGAAACGAACATAACCTATCTTTCACATATTTCTATCACAGTATTGAAGAGAGTTCCCCGTACACGTATACAGTTGATTCCGAAAGTGGAGCCATCTGTCGCCCCTACCAAGAATTACATACACAGCGAACCTCGTTTCAGATTTATTTCCTTGGAGAGGGAAACGTAATTTTAATTAAATTTTATTTTGCAGTTAATTCGCGGATCAATGTTATCTTTAAGAAATGTCACAGATTCCCCAGGCCCACCACGTGGAGGTTGCTGCGCGTCGAGACCTTTTACGAATTTAATAAATTACGTTAAATATATTGAAAAAGGAAAGGAAAGGAGAGGAGAGGGGAAGAGAGTGATAGGCTGGTATTTTATTAAACCGTTCATAAATAGTACCGAAACACATACCCATGTGTGCCATCTACGGTAAATAATTTAATTTACGTAATACAGCCCAAAACCCCGAGTAAAACCTCATTACTCATATTCTCTAGCGACTGACAAAGGAAATTCTTTACCACTAGCAGCCTTTCCATGTCAGCCGCCATGTACTCCCATTTTCCCTTCCCAAATGCTCCGAAGTAAATGTCGTCCGAAAAATCGTTTCCAGAGGGTTAATAGCCAAGACCGGAAGGTTAGGGTTCCCGACTGATGCGTTATCTCATAACGGCGCATCGGACTCTACGAGATGGGCCGTTTTACGAGATGAATTTAGGGGTGGTTAATATTTGACGGAGGCCCCGGTGAGTCGATCCTCCCAAGAATGTCCGCCATTACCGCGCGCGATATATCGCCGGGTCGCTTGTCAGCCTCGTCCCCTCGCGCAGCAACGTGTCGGCCGAGGAGCGTTCCGATTGGCTGATTCCACGGAATTACGAGCTTCGCGTCCAATGGTGGGGCAACTGGTTCCGCGGCGTCCCGGCAGCGACCCTCCGCACCGCATGTGAGAGATTGGCGCGCGAATCGTAACCTCTCCCCGCGGTGCGTCTAATAAGACTTCTTACGAGGCATTCGCGAGCCAGCGGCCCGTTAAGCCTGCCAAGAAAACTCCCAAGGGGCGCTCGAACGACGCGGGGTACGAGGCGAGATCGACCTCCTGCCCGTTCTTTCGCTGAGTGAAGAAACGACGGCTGCCATTAAAATATACCAAAAATTCAAATTATTAAATGGAATTCATGTTCAACTCGGAGTATCGACCTCCTGCCCCGTTCTTTCGCGGAGTAAAGAAACGACGGCTGCCATTCAAATTTACCAAAAATTCTACTCGTTACAAAAACTTCATATTCTCAAATGAATTTCATATTCAGCTCTGAATACTATATAACTCTGAATTTCTAAAGGAAGTAACTGAAAACAAAAACGTGGCAAGGTTACATTCGAGGCTAAGACTGTCGACGGTTAAAAAAGGAATAGTTAAGCAAAAAGCGACGAAGTTACGATTACTTCAGTTCTCTACTTACAGGAATATCGCAATAGATCCGCATTTTTCTCCTATTATCGTCTTTTCTAAGTTTGAAATCACGTACGAGTATGAGCGATGTAGAATTGCTAAATCCTTGAAATGACGAGTACGGAACAGCAGGTAATAATGTATTAAGAAGTGCGAGTAAAAAAGAATATCCGATGTAGACGATAAGAATGAAAAATAGACTTGATCGGTCTCGACAGTCACAGAAAAAATATTTCACTAATCAGTTGAAGAAACCCTGTTTTAATACCATCTCGATTTGTGCCCATAATTATGAAAGTGGTCGAAGTCAAAATTAAAAAAAAAAATGAGCATCAATTATTTCACGCCATATTATTTCAAACGAAATTAATTCAATGTAATTTCGAAACAAAAAATATATGACTTAGACCACTTTCATAATTATGGGCACATTTATTGCCAATGATTTGTGTCGCATGGAAGACGGGAATAATTTTTTAATGAAACAAATTCTTTCTCTCCGTATATTTTCTCTCGGCCTTTGTCAATTTAGGCTCGGGCTTCCTCGGCATTTTATTGTGCGCGAAATGCCCTACCAGCGCGGTCGTTCACGCCCGGCTTCCCATTTCTGCAGAAAACGCAAGGTCCGCGTCTTTACGAACCAATAAATCGAGCAAGTGCGAATTCACAGCACGTAGGAGACGTTGCGAGTTCGCCGCGCCATCCCGATGCCTTGCGCGGGTACCGTTATCCGCTGCTGCGCGCGCTGGCCAATAACCGCGCACGGTACATCGGAAAGAGCCAATCGAGAGCGCCATCTGCGCCAGGGGGCGAATAAAGAAGCAACAGGGCAGGGAGTTCATACCTCTCAATCCGCTAAGCCTGCGGTTGTCATGGCAACGGGCCGCACCCAACCAGCATGGCCCCGGGGGCGTGGGGAGCCGCTCCCTTCTGGAAGGATCCAATGACGGCGCGTCTCGCTCGCCAAGATGGCGGCCTCCTCGGATCGATGAACCGGCACTCATTGTGATGGATAAAATGTCACTCAAAATAAAAAACCCGACGCAATTAAATATTTTTTCTGCAAGCAATACTTGTTTTCAATGTCCCAAGCACTACATGTAAACATAACATTCCCTTAATGATAATTTAACAATTTTTTAGCTATGAAACGTGATCTTTTGAGAAACAATGGAATGGGTAGAAGTCTCTTTCGCCGTCGTTAACAAATAAATGAACAATCACCTTAGAATATTATCTGCTGATATTCGCGAGGAGGAAGAAGAGGAGAATCTCACATTAAAATTCACTCTAAATAATTATTATTAAAACACTTCGGCAAATTGTTACGTTTTAAGAGGGTGAATGTTATGTTAAAGGTAACACTAAGTCGTGTTTAGACTAAGTAATTTCACGATATAAGAGCGCGTGGCTTTTTCGAATATTTTCCGCACGGCAACTAGAACTTTCCACAATTAATACAGTTTTAACACCGGAGGACCAAAGCGACGTTTCCCCCCACTCCGAATTTGTTTGCGTTCGCTCTAGACTTAATTCACCGGTATCGTTCTCGGAATTCGGCATCGACTCGAATTCGGTCGAAAATGTAAACAGATCCGAGTATAACTAACCGTGACGCGAGGTAGGACAGCTAGCCGAAGACTGCTTCTCTTTACCGGCGTGTTCACCGTGGTCACGCCGAAGGCCCACATGGTCGTCACAATGAAAATCGGAGAAAAAGGATTGGGATTTTTGGCCGCCACGGGGAGGTCGGCGGTGCAATAAAATCGGGAAGTCGGGTTCAGTTCTTTAAGTCGCCCTCCGAGGTCCCTTCGGCGAAAAAGATACCGCGCGACGTGTCTTTCTCTCCCGTCAAGCTCACGCCGCTTTTTACGACTTTTATTGCGTACTACTGCAGCCTCCGACTGAACCATCTTTACCGCCATTACCACCACCACCCTTGGAACCACGAATACCGTCTATTCTATCGCGGACGTTCTTTCGGCGGTCGTCCCTCCTCGCGATCAGTGACGGATCGGTCTCGTCGGAATAAAAGAACGCCATATGATATTCAATGTCATCTGAATCACCGAAGGCGTAACCACGACTAGTATTTCTTTTCTCTAAAATCATTCGACATCTACGAAAAAAAAAAAAGAAGAAAGAAGTCAACGCCAGGACCAGTGGATGCAGTACCCTGTTCACCGGTTTTCATCTTCTACTGATTTTCGTCCATCGCAGCCAGGCTAGTACTCTTTTAACGTTATTCCTGAAAAAATTCCTCACCTACATGACAGGACGACAAAGATTTGTTTCGCTGTATGGATCATCGTAAACGTGACTATTCGGTGTATCGGTGGCAATGGCTTTGTTTATGTGCGATTTTAGCAGCTGAAAAGTCAACGACTTCTGCTGCGTGGACGACTCTAAATCGGGCACCGCCCTTTTCGTGATAAAATCCAGGAGCTTATCTCGCTGGTGGTGATAAATCGGGAGCCATTTCCAGACACTGCTGTTGTCACAGCTGTTGATACGTGGGATTTATTAAATTCTTAATTTTATTGTCTATATATGTACCTACGTTGCAGGCCGATGAAGTTAAATTGTACTCATGTATGACTTCTTACCCGGGAATGTGATTTTCTTAATAATTCGATTATTCAGGAATGTTAGACTTAATTTTGGGCGGGTTTGGTATAATCCCGAAGATGGGTGGAAGTTCGTCATCTTCGATGGAATCGAAGGGAACTTCCGTAGTCGTCGGGCCGAGAAATCCTCCGATTACGTCAAACCAGAATTTTCCGTGTTTTTCGACACCACTCGAGATCTTTTCTGGTTCTTTTCGGTGATCATGGCTTCCTCTCCAGTCCGATGAACAGCCATTTGCGGCAATACCTACATTCATGGTTTTTCATTCAAAATATTGTAGAAATGCGCAAGGAGGATCTATTACACTCACTTAGTTCAAAAGTATGACAAATGTCGATGGATACTTACTTGTTATAGCAGCAAGAATGAGCATGGCCGAGAAGACCGTTAAAATCACGTTTGGAGTCATGTCCCACTGATTTTCATAGTCTATAGTAACCTCCATTTATATACATACGTTTATCTCCAAGTTCAGCAGCATGTGTAGTATCTAGTTTACTCAAATGGAATTAAAATGAGGCCCGTTTCAAAAGTCACTTAGTTCATCAACACCCGCATGCAAAAGTTAACCCTTATTCTCGTTTCCATCTAAAGACTATATCATTTTTAAATCCACAGTTTGAAGCCCGCAATGTGTTACCTTTAGGGGCAGTAATCCGCAAATACTACGTACTGACCTTATCAAATTAATTCGGTATTCAAGGCATGTTCCGGTTGTTCCATTTTTACCGTCCTCATGATAAAAGTAAAGATAAAGCCCTCATAAAAAACCAGCCATGATTCCTGTTTCGAAGTTTCCCTTGACGCCTCGATACGAATTTATTTAACTAGGTAGAATAAAAATAGAACAAATATCCACTAGCATTTTTTTTTGTCTTGGATTAGGAAAGGCACAGTTGTGAATGGCGTTGGCTTGTAATGTTTTGTTTTGGGCCCGGTCTTACACAATTTTGGCGAGGC